AGAGAGAGAGAGAGAAGTGATTCATGTCACTGTGTCATTGTAATAGAATGAAACCACCTTTCTAGAAAACCGTATGTTTGGAATTTGCATGACTCCAAAACTCACTTTACCCTAATAATCAATCTCGAAAAAAATAAAATTCAATCTACAACTTAGATATAGTTAAAATGAGTCCCCTTCAACAACAAATCTAAATCATTAATTTGGTTAATTTGAAGATCTAATAATAATCAAGTCATCTAAAAAAATTGAAAAGGAAAAGAAAATCATTCTAAGGCTTAGATCTAAGCATCTTACCAATATTGATGACCTATGTTAGTTGGGCTAAAAAAACATTTCTTAGGTTGTGTTTTCAAATTTTACTTTTTGTGATTGTTCATTAGAATGAAAATACTATATATTTAAAATTTGTGGTTAAACAAATAGACTTAACACAGTTTTTGGAGATAGTTTTATTATTTACTACACAATCGTTGCATGAAAACACATATGATTATCTTAGAGTACTCATACATATGAGTATTTCCTTAATGTACTGAACTTTTTTGGACACTCATAAACCTTATTTTGTAATACAAATGTTTTAGTAAGGCTAATTTCTGTAATTAGGAGGGGTATGATAGATATTTATCCAAGAAAAACATAATGTTTATTAATGGTTAAGAAACAATCATTGTGGGTGGTGTCATCTTCCACTATAGATAATAAATATTCTTCTTTGTAACAAGAATTTTAATCTTACTCCTGTTTAATTACTTAAAATACTACTAGGCAAAAATGTTTCTACATGGTGGAGTAAAGGTATTGAGTGTCTAAACATATTGACAATATTAAGTAAATATTCATATTCTTATGTATATTAGGGTACTCATATATATGAGTATTTACTTAAGAGTGTGGTTTGTATAGAGCCAAGGCTCTGAACAATCAAAGTAAAGCGCACCTTCAAATAGTGGCAAGAAATGTGGTTTCAATACTAGAAATCTTTATGAAATATATTTTCATCTTTAATCATGAAATTTAAAGCTTAAAAAATAGTGTAAATCGAGATCTATAAAAACTTGAAAATTGACGATCCAAAAATACTGAAATCCATTGTTTTCTCATGTTCATGTAGCTTGATGTCGAGATGATCAATTTGAGGATATTTGGGGATCAAAACAACATTTTTCTTGTGAAAATTTTAAGGTGAGCTCTAATTTGATTGTTAGGAGCTTAGGCTCTATATAAACTTTTTCATTTATTTAATGTACTCAACATTTTTTGACACTCAATATCCTTACTCTACCCTGTAGTAACCTTTTTACCTAGAGGTATTTTAGGTAATTAAATAGGAGTAAAATTGAAATGGGTTTTGTTAGGCTATACTACATGTGGTGTATACTTTTAATGTCCTCAGTATTTTTGGACACTTAAATACCATTGAATTGCAATATGAAACTTTTCAAGTAGAGGTATTTTTTGTTATTTAGAAAGGTAGAATGGATATTTTTATAAAAAAATAATGGCATTTTATTAGTAGTTAAAAAACATTTATTGCATCTTGAAAGTGATGTCACACACTATGTCTGTGATATCACTATCCACTATTGCTAATAAATGTTGTTGTTTCTATTAGAAATTTCTATTTTATCTTTGACTAATTACTTAAAATACCTCTAGACAAAAAGTTACTATATTATAGGATAAAGGTATCTAAGTGTCCAATAATAATGAAGACTTTAAGGGTATACACCACCAAGTTGAGGTTTTGTAGGTTCAACTACTTGGTGATGTATATATTTAAAATCCTCAACATTTTTTTATATTTAAATATCTTTGAAATGTAATACAAAATTTGTTGAGTATGAGCATGTTTGGTCACTTAAAAGGGTAGAATCGATATTTTTATATGAAAATAGTAGCATTCTATTGGTAGTTAAAAAACAATTAATACATCATATAAGTGAATTCACACACTATATTAATGATGCCATTAATATAGTAAAGTCCACTATTATTAATAGATGTTTTTGTTTCCATTAAGAATTTCTATTTTACTATTAATTAATTACTTAAAATACTCTTAGACAAAAAGTTAATACGTTATAAGATATGGGTATCTAAATGTCAAAAAATGTTGAGGACTTTAAAGGTCTACACCACAAACAAATAATATAGCCTAATATGAAATTATTGATAGAAAAAAAAAGTATTTATTAACTACAATTGATGATGACATTATCGCTAACATCACCCCTATAGAGCCGCAAGTGTTTATTAACTACTAATGAAGGGTCACAACTTTTTTGTAGAAATATCTCTAATAAACTAAAGGTATACCGGTGTCCAAAAATATCGAGTACATTAAAAAAACATTCATATATTTTAGCATAACCAGGAGTGGGGATTGGGGAAACCCGGTGCAAGGCTACCACCCATAATATATTCGGTTCCAACTAATTTCCTTCAAAAAAATTGACGGTCCCAATCGAAAAGCCAGTTTTAAAACACTAATTTATCTTAAGTCTTCAATTTCCACAGCTCGTTTTCCCTTCATTCACCATTACGCACGTACACATCGTCCTCTCTATCTCTAAACTCTAAAGTCTCAAGTCTACATTTTCTCTCTCTCTCTCTCTCTAACTAATTAATTATTTTCTCCTTCACACGGACTTTTCCGTGTCTCTCCGTGATTCTCTCCCCTATATTTTCTCTCTCTTCTCATCCTATATTTAATTCATATTGTTTTTGCACGTGCGATGCACGGAACCTGCAGAATAGACGGCCGGGACGCGTTCTCGGCTCCGATTGGTCCAATCTTTAAACCCTGTGACCCCAGATTGCGTCCACGTGTCCACTCAGCCATCCGGCCCCCACAGTTTTCCCTTGGCTGCTTTATAATTTCTTCGATTATTCGTAAAGCGTGCGACAGTGTTGCTTAGAAGTTAATCTTTTTTTTTTTACCCTTTTGAAAAAGTGTTTTAAAATTCCCATCCTGCACAATCACAATCGTCCATCTTTAACATGAACATCCACAACTATAGATTTCTATCCAATAGATAGGGAAAATATCTAATAAAAATATTTTAATATTTTATTTTTTATATTCATGTCCATCATAGTGTAGATAATGGATCTCTATATACTTAGATCCAAGATCGATACAAATAATGGGTGTTCAACGGAGCCCGCATGAAAATAGTATGAGTCGGGGAACTCATAAAATCCGGATCCTTTTCCATTTAATTCTTTTTAATTTTCATGGGTTTTTTGGCCCTTATTTTTCCTTGTACAAGGTTTGAGAAGGATTGAGGTTGCTGTCCTACTTTCCTATTTATCAATCCCCAAGAAACAATAAATTAATAATAGATAAATCTGTCAGCTAATACTTTATTAGTTCTATCATTGTCACACTAATCACTGCATCGGATTGGCATGAATTAGTCACTAACTGTGATTTGCCTTTTTTTTTTGGTTTCAATATGCCCTCTAAAACAAAATTTTTTGTTTATATGTCGTAAGGTGAGGAGATTGAGTGCTCAAACTTTGCTCTTGTGCAACCAAGCTGACCTGACCAATTCAAGATTCAATTACCTCTTTCACTGCTAATTTGGACTAGTTCATCATCCACTCTACATATCCGTGTCCGATCATTGGGTCGATGATCTGGA